GGCTCAGTCCTCTAATAAAAACTATTGTAAGATTCTTGCTTATGTTCTCCCGTTACTCTTCTATCTGCATCAGAATTGGAAACAAAAGGCAGGGCTCTACAGAACTGAAGACCACATATGGACAGAAATTTCAGAACTATTCAAGTCTGATGTCCCTGGTTAGACCCACGCCCAATGATACAGAGAAAGAGACAATGAACAATGACAGGAGCTTGTCTCTATAGGAAATAAAATCTTAGCTAAGCGTTGCCGGAGTATGTAGAGGCCTTAGCATAAATGAGGTATACATTTCTGAGTTCAAAACCAGAAAAAAGTGTCAGTGCATGTACATCTACTAAAACACATACCCACTCACTGGCTTTCACATCTGACACTGATGTATCCTCCAACCATCCACTTGGGATATTTGAAATACTTTCTTCCAAATAGCACCATCTATTCTCTAATGATTTTCTAACACAAATGCCATTTATACAAATAAATTATTTTCTAGCCATGCTGTAATAAACCTACCTTATTTTCTCCCAGCTACTCTTGTTAAGGACAGGTAAATCAGAATGTTTACAAATAGCTCCCAACTGGACACCACAGGCTGCAGTTCACAATGAATAAATGTCAGAATAAGGAGCAGCAGACCAGTATTATCTCCCCTCCCACATGGTTGCCCTTCAGCTACCTAACACTCAACAGTTTTTGAGATCTCATTTTGAGAATGCTGACAGTTCTGGATACTACATCAGTGTCAAAATCCAAATTGGCAGGGTCCTTTGCTTACTCCCAACTCAGCCGTAGTGGTTAAAGGGTTCCTGCCTAATCACATAAATATGTTCCCTTGCAAATTCCAAAGCTGCCTGCCAGTCAACTCTCACTAAATCCCAAAGGGATCTTGAAATTTTGAGGAGATTTCTCTCAGTGATTTTAGTACAGCAAGAACAAGCAAACTGTTTCATTACAATGAAGACATGGTCCTGAATGATCTGCCCAGGAGCAATTTGTAAGTGAACTGAAGATGGACCTCCAAAAATTCAACGCACTTGTGGCACTATTCCAGTATCAGCCAGTGGTCGTTATTTAATTAGAGCCACAAAATATTTCTTTTACCTTGAATAATCTCACTAAATGCTGCAATTTTGAAAGGACCCACAGGATGCCCAAATTCTGCTAATAATTTTAGGCAATATACAAATAACAAAAACATGGGAACAATTTATTCAATATCTTCTAGAGGAAATAAATACTTCATTCTGAAGTGTTATTTATATGTTGCTCCCTTTTAGACATCAATCTGTGTTTTTAAAATGGGAAAGAAATTAAAACTGTTTAATAATTGGAACACATATCATTCACCCACTAAAGTGAAATAATTTCTTTAACATTGACTCATTCTGATACTAATTTGAGTTTTAACCTTTTCTCAAGAGACATGGAAACAAATAATCCAAATGGAAAGGCAGGCACAATTTAGCATTCACTGCTGCAGGTGACTAATATTTTCTTTAGAAATCAAGAATGAGACCAGCTACACAAACTGGTACACTATTTGGCTTGATAAACACTCTCAACAATTTATGTTTTATTATGGTTTGGACTTGTTTTTGTTTTCTAATCCAAAAATTTCATAGAAGTGAATAGGACATTTATGGACAACCTGAGTTCAGTGGTACTTCTGTAAAAATCAGTGCAGACTTTGGGCTTTTGCTAGTTAATTTCCTAACAATTAAAAAGTGATCATGCTAATGAGTATTCCTTAAACCTGTTGCTGATTTTCTCTAGCACAAGCCCATTCTGACCTGCATATGCCACTCTTTTCGTCCCAGCTCTTCACTTACAGCTTCCACAAGACAATACACCTAAACCTTGCACAAGAACACTTCATCCTCAAGTGACTGTAGGAAATCAAGACTGGATTCACAATCCTTGCTCTGTTTTGGAAAATCCACCTCTTTCTCTATGCTGCTGGATGCACACATGCCATTGAAGCTAAGCTAAACTCTTGAATTGATGGAGAATTGTAGCAATTGGGGTATAGAACTCCAGATAAAGCAGAAAGCACTTTTAACTACAGAAATGCTCATTGCCATTGACTTCTTTTGTTCAATATCACCATGTCCCATCCCAAAGAGGTGGGGCAATCTTTTCATATGCAGCTATTCAAACTATAAGAAAAAACAAGAAGGATTTGAAAGACAGTCCTACAAAGACAATTCCAATTAAATTAGTATAAAATTATTTTATACAAATGCGATGTTGTATTCAACAAGCAACATACACATTTTCCTGTCAATTACATATCCTCAGAAACTCAGCACAACCTTAGAGATATCAAAATCTCACATCTGTATTCTACTCTATGTCAGCCTACCAAGATTTCTATAAAGCCAGAGTAACTCTTGGCTTCAACAAAACAGCATGAATATAAAACCTGTGTCATGCAGTAGAGTCAAAACCAACACATGCAGATGAAACAGGTCAAATTCCTCAGTTTCAAAGGAATAAGGAGCATGTAATTGTGGTAGCTTTACATTTTTTGGTAGCCACTGCTTTAAAACAGGAATAAAACCACTCTACGTTCTACACTGCGTAGCAGGGGAAGAATGTTTGGAAATTCATTTATACATCAATGGCAACTAAAAATTAAGCAGCTTAAAGGTCAAAAAAATGTTGATGTCAAATGTCTTCAAGAAAACAAACATATTTTAAGATAAGAAAGGATTATTGTCATCTACTCTGACCTTTTAAGTCATACAGAGAAGAATATTGCACAGTAATTCCTCTCTTATACCCATAATTTGTGGTTCGGTTTTTCCAGCTTTTCTTTTTTAAACAAGAAGGTAGCTCCACTGTCAGAAAATCTGCCACCACATTATGGAACTGTACACTATAAATCAGTCATATTTTCTAACTCTGGTCCACATCAGTTCATGAAAGTAAAAAATATTTTCAGCAGAACCAAGTGTCTGAATTGCAAATCTGATTCCAGCAGTTCTTCACTACAGTTCTGAAGGAAGCAGAAAGTTTCTAAGACTGGGCAAAAGTCATACCTAAGCAATACCTTAAATTGGCAATTTAAGATGGCAAAATAGAAAGCAGCTATTGTGATCTTTAACTCAATGTGTATTTGTGAATACCTTTGTCAGAGCAAATATAATCTATAGGTTACTCTGCTGCTCTTCTTACTCTTTATAAATCAGAAAATTAATTACCCAGAAAATGGTCTCCTGTAGTAGGAAGCTGAACAGGTCTAATGTATAATTTATATATGGAAATTTAGGTGTCAACACTGTGACAAATCCTCATGTAAATATTTTTGCAGTTAGATTTCTCTGTATCTGTCTTCCATAAAGAATGAGCATAACAGATTATCTCAATGATAAGATGTTATTTTGGCATGTGGGGCAGAACTGCATTTTTAATTTTTTCTCAGCTAAAAATCAATCAAAATGAACAAGGTTTTTGCGCTGTATGAGAGAAGCTACTTTGATGACATCCCATTTAGGAGAGTACCATTCACAGTGAGAGCACTAATATGAAGAAAATAGAAATTAAACAGAATGAGGTTTTCCAACATCCACCTTGCCATCTGTTAGGGGACATTTTAAACTCATGTTATGGCCAATTAGGGTGTTCTGAACATTCCCTGCTTATTTTGACACTGCCATTGTAACTTAGTCCAGTCATTTCACAAAGGCCTGTGCTTCAAGGGAGCCTTGGAAAATAGTTTTGCTTCGTAACACATCTCTAATAATAGTCTTTGAATTGATAATTATCTAATGGGCACTTCAAAAGGTTCAGAAGCTCTAAATATTTCAAGTCTGACAGTTGAATCCGATAATCTCTCTGTATTGGGGTGCTTTCTACCATGAGTGCATTAAAATAAGCAACACTTTAAACACTGACTGCAGTCCCATAACCATTAAAGCACTTTCTTAAAATCAGTTACCAAAAGTTATTGAAATTTTTGAATATTCAAGCTTTAATAGATTTAAAGATAGGATAAGATCTTTGGCATTTCACAGGGAAAGGAGTGCTTGACATATCTCTGACATTCCCTTGTTGAGTGAGGAATCATTGCAGTTGCATTTCAAAGCTGAAAATGTTTTCTATCTTGCACCAGCCTAACAACATCATCCTGTGACTGGGGAGAGAGTTGCAAGCCACTTACTTAGAGAAAAGAAAAAGGAGTTAAGATGTTCTGTTTATTTCAAACCACTTGGAACCAAGAGTAGTCAGCTGAAAATTACATTTGGAGAGGCCTTTTTTGATGTTTCTTCCACTATTTTGCTTATTTGCTTTCCAAGTCAGCACACACATTCAGCATTCATAACAGCCTGTGGAAGGAGCTCCATATTTAAACTACACATTGCATGAAAATGCATTTCCGGTTTCTTCTTCTTTGGTTTTGGTTGTTTACTTTTTTTGCAGCCTTGCCACACTATTATCCTATTCCCTAGGTGTAATCTCTTGGAGATTGTTCATTAGTACAGTTGGAAATTCAGTCTCATATGGTATGGCTGTTTTGACACTACATCTTATTCACAAAGAGGCCTGCCTGACAAGCTCAAGTTCATAAATTTATCTGCTACTCCAGCTAATTGGAAATATTTAATGCCAAGTCAAGAAACCTCAACAGCACAGGCTTTTGCCTGACCAGCAGTGAGGAGGAGGATGGCAGGTGAAATAAAAACCCATAGGAGTGGAGGCGAAACTTGGTCATGGTACATCTGTTACCACTGAGAGAATAGCAGCAGTGACTCCTGACTCAAACATGCACTTCAAAACAATTCCCCTTGCTCCAACGTTAAATTACTCCCTGAAGAAAGAACCAGCCTTGAGATACAAAGAGTAGGAACACAAGGCTTTTGCTGTCCCAGACTGACTTTTTGCTTATGGGGACAGCTGGCACTCATCCTGTAATCTCTTCCAGGTCCCTGCTGCACCACAGCCAGTTGCATGCCCACCATCCCCGGTCCCTGAGTACAGAAGGAGGTCACAAATCTTACTCTGGTTGCGCCTCGCTGTCTTTCTCAGCACAGCCTCCTCCATTCGTGCTTTTTCTTCCCTCTCCTTCCAGCGCCTCAGCTGCTCTTCTCTCATTTTGTAGAACAAGATCTGCTTTTGCTCTTCATTCAGCTCTGCCAGGAGCTCAGGGTCAATGTACATATCACGCAAAATTTGCTGCAGCATGGTGGCTCAAAAATTTTAAAAAAAAAAGGAAAAAAAAAAAAAAAAGAGAAATCTGCTTCCAGTTATATTTATTACAGTGACAAACCCCCACTGATGGCACTCCAGAAAGTAACCTGCAGCAAAGGAGCTCTCCCACACCTGCCTGCCCAGGAGACTTTTGATTCTTCCTCTGGTCCTCTTGGTGCAGACATGTTCTGCTCCTTGTCTTTACAGGGACAGAGTTCTCTCTTTTATCTCATCCTCTAAAGGAAAGGACAAGTGTCAAGGGAATGTAAGGAGGAGGAACAGACAAGGATAACAAAAAAACCCATAAAATGCAAAGTCCAGGAGAAAAAAGAAAAAAGTCACTTCAGTAGTCTTGACTGCAAGCCATTAAAATTAGGGATTCTTGACTGAACCCGTCGGCTTTGATCCTTGAGCAGAAGGAAATTCAATAGAGAGAAAGCCTCAGACTTTCAGGTCAAGCAGTTCCCTTCAGCAGCAATGCACTCCCAAGGGTGTAAGTGTTGCCCAGGGGTTTATAGTGATGTCACGGCTCCAGGTATCACCTGCACTAACAATATCTATGTCACTTTGGGAACTGATCTCTCCTGATAAGAGAGGAGAAACGAGTTTGTGTATTATTTCCCAGTCTAGGCTGTTAACTAGTCTCAACAGAGTAAGTCATATTAGAGGTCCTATTTACCTGGTGTTGACAAATACTGTCATGCAGCAAACTGATTAAAATGCCTCTAAAATTAAAAGCGATGTAACAAAAGCCACACGAATCTTATCACTTTATAAATAAATTAATATTAATTAAACAAGACTAAGTTCTCGGCAACTCATGCAGACTCTACAAGCCCTGATGTTAATTCATTTTCCACTTGGTGGCTGGAGAAAGTTACAATGGTGCTCTTCCAGGAGATTATGGCTTTTCACTACGTGACAGTTTTATTAAAGTTAGTTAAAAAATATTATTTCAGCGCCAGGGCCAACAGCCACTTAATTATCTAAAAAACAAAGCAAAAGCAAACCATCTGGATTTGGGAGTCTGTTTTCACTGGGCAGGGGTTCAGCTCTCAGCTGCACCAGGGAGGGGTGGCACTTCGAGGGAAGGGGGCCACTTTCTGAGACAAACTAAGACCTGGCCACTCAGAGTCATTACAAAATACAGATCATTAGCAGGCTGAGCCACATCCTTCTGCTTGATGTTTACACAAGAAGGAAGGGCAAAAGCAGGTCTGTGTTTCCTCATGAGAAACCTGCTTTATAGATAAGGAGCTGTCAAAATCTTACATGACTTTCATGACCTTGTATTCAAAAACTTAACTGCTAATCCATCTATTCATGTGTCATTGTTTAGAGGTATGCAAAATACTAATATCCTAATTTAGGCAGAAAACAAAACTGATATAAACCAAAATTCCAGACAAGACCTATCACCCAGGAGCATGAAACCAAAGGGTAAGCTTGAATGTTGCCTTCAGCTAAAGCAGAATTTCAGAACCCAGTTTGGGCTTTAAAGAGTTCAAGTCCACATGCTACTCTGCAATTCAGGATCTCTCTTATGTACAGACTTTGTCTACTAAAACAAAATAGCTTTTCTATTATTATTATTTTTTAAGAAACAGGGTTTGGTAAGAAAAAACCTAGGGTAAGGAAGATTTTATTACTGCTTCTTTATTTCACTTGGTCAGGTACAGAAAAGGGAGACCCTGAGGGGGTTGGCTTTGTTTCTCTGGTTTTATTCAATTATATTAGAGCTGTGGCTCTACATTTTGGCACTAATTGAAAAGGACTCACCTTTGCAAAGGCTTCAGGGCAAGCAGTTTTGCTGTTTTACTCATTTGTCATCATTCTTATTTTATTTTGCTTGACTTCACAGACCAGAAATCAAATCCTGATCAGAAACTATCACAGTGCAAAAAGCAAACTCTTCATCATGGATTATGTGCATTTAAGCATGATAAGTAGAACCATTTCTGAACTGCATTCAGCTGTAGAAGTAGCTCAGGATGGAGATACAAGACAGCATACAAACAAATTTTCAGTCAGCTACTGGTAATGTTCAATGGGCAACCACCCAACAAAACCAGCAAGAGCAAGGACGTGAAATGACACTTCAGTGGGACATGAACAACCCATTGCCTTAAGACTATTCACCAAAAATATTTGAAGATGGCAACCAAATGATCAAGTGGAATTAATCTGTGGGGGAATTACCTTTTTTCTTAGAGGTGGAAGTGTTATCTAATCACAGCAGTGAATCTGATTGGCTTCCCCAGCCATAGCTTTTCTCTGAGTTGCAGTAATCCCAAAAGAAAGAACTGGAAATACAAAAAGCAAGGAAGATAAAGAAAAACCCTATCTAACATAAGCCAAGATCCAACAGAAACAGAAAGATACATCTTAAATTTTGCCATTAATTTCTTGTCCAATATAAATAGACTCTGCTACCTGCTGCTTGGTCTTTGGACTCCCACATGGGTGGTAGTTTTTCATCATCTCTTTCTCTCACCATTACTGGTAGCTAAATTTTTTTAAGACTTGCATTATTTTATGGGGTGGAAAATCCAGGAGGATCAATGGAAGGAATCGAGTTTTTTTTTTACCAGTCTCTTATTTTCCCTTACTAATTGATAGTTGATTTGATCTGATAACAACCTGGGAATGGAGTGCATGGAAGGAGAAGCTGGTTACCTCCCTGCAGATCCCAAAGGTGTAGAGAACCTCAGCCATGTGAGTAAATACTAGGCATGCTTGAGAAACCATCCAGTGTTCCACTTAGCAGAAAAGAGTAATGGTGGATGGTGCCCTGAGAAATCCATGCTTTGAATATCTTGGGCCAGTGAGGGATTTGGCCCAAACCAGGTCCAGCCTGGTGGCTTCATCAGGAGCTGAAGCTCCCTCATCAGGAGCTGGCAACACTACCAGTCTATGCTGAGCTCCTTCAAGGATATGAAAGAATTTGGCAGGAGGTCCAACTTCTGTATACCCTCACCAGGCCAGAAGCACTAAGAAGCAATAAATAATTCAGATAATTAAGTTTAATCACTAGCCACTATTCCAGTACCTCATATACCTTCTGCATCTGACAAATCTTTTCAGAATGACATTTCTCCCTTCTGAAGAAATACTTCCAAAGCACTATTAGAAAAAAATTAAAGGACCTATCTGATATAGTTAGAATGACCCCAAACATGCACTGCAAGGAATAAAAAACCCTGACTACATAAAATGTAGTAATCTGCCCCCTTGTCATCACCGTCATGAAGAAGGTGGATCGCAGGAAAATTCTCCCCCTCCTTCTTTTTCCAGCCCAGCTGATTTTCTAGCCTCTCCACTTGCTTTCCTGCCCACTGTGATAAAGCTTCTTGAGAAGCCAGTTTCCTCAGCGGGCAGTCCAAAGGTAAGAACTGTCCTGACTAGCTGTGATCCTTTATCTGGAATGAAATAATATTTATGTAGAAGCATTGTATCTCTACACTGCTTGCCTTCCTTCCTCTGCAGACATCATTTTAGATGTTATTGTCCTCTTCACATCCTTCCTTTAGTGTTTAACAGTAGTGTTTTCCCAGCCCACTCCCACAACACACAGGGGTGTCAGAGGCATCTGTGCAGCTTTGTATCCCAGTGAATCTGTTGGCTGTACATGAAATGTTCCCAGCGGTAACCTATGCCAGTTCCAAACTGGATTTTTAACCCAGTAGACACCGATTCTCATCATAGTTCACCTTTTCATAAATATTTCAAATAGTCTGAATTGTCGTGAATTAACTCCCCTGATTTCTCAGAAAATTAAACAAATCCATGAGATCTAAAATTCAGAAGGCAACCTTGAAGAAACACCAAACCTCCTATAAAAACTCTTGCTATTTCTAGTATTAGCTCACATTTTGTGATGAATGATCTTTGCAGATCCATCCAAACAGTCAGAAAGCTAAGGGACAGGAGATAACTCAGGCAAAACACAAAATAAAGCTTTCTATTGCAAAACAAAAATTTCTCTTTTTCCTTCCTTTCCCAGGCCTGATTAATATTTGGATTAATTAATCACTCAAAGACCAAGGGAAATTTGAAGTAAAGATACCCACTTCCTGACTGTGGCCATCCATCATCTTTCCAGCTTTCCTGTGAAGTATTTTGAATATTTTGAAAGGATAATGAAGTCTCCAGTGCTTTTCCACCTTGGTTACCCCTTGTTCAACGGTCCAAGCTAAATTAAAATCATTATAGAAAGACATTACATCTCAAAAGCCTGTACACAAAATAAAATTATTATTAATGCAGTTCTTTGTTCACAGGCATTACATTCTGATAACTGGCACACAACTGGATAATCTGACTAGTAGCACTCTCTGCAAAGAGCTCAGAGCTGTTTAAAATTTAAGTTTGAAGCTTCCTTTTGTCTTAAATGTCATCTTCTGGGACTAGACACACTCTGTCCCATCTCTGGTGTAGCATCTTTCTGGCTAAGCACTCCTCAGCACTGCCACTAAAATTCATCTGCTGGGGAAGGGAGAGGGAAGAAGAGGAAAAGGCACAGAAAAACATTTTAGTTTCATTTTCTAAGAAAAGGGGAAGTACTTAATTGGCTGTGGCCTGCAAATCTCTTCATCCATTTTCCTCTGAGCATGTGCACCCTCCATCCCCTGAACAGAGTAGCTGCAAATGCTGATTAATGCTGAGCCAGCAGAACAGCATTTTCATTTGGATTTTACAACACTGCCATGTAATCCATTTTAGCCATGTCATTTACATAAAAATATTGTGCTATAACCTACACATTACAGGGAAAGAGAGAGGTGTAATGCACCTCTCTCCTTAAAGGAAGGATTAATAGAAAATCCAGTAAACAAAAAATGTGGCAATCGTGTTATCCAGACTGTGAACTACATGGCCTTAATCAAATTTTTGTGGTTTGTGTCTTTATATTTCTCATTTTTTAAGGGGAAGGAGTGTGCAGCATTTTAATTTTTCAAGTTCTGCTGTGTCAGCATCAGAAAGAGAACAGTAGA